TGCGGCGGGATGATTACACGGACTGTTTACTGATAGCTGTGCTGAATACTCCATCATGTGGAACAAAGGTCTATCGCATCTGAAGAGGCCAGCTCTCTGGTCTCTCTCTCTGGTCTCTCTCTCTCGTCTCTCTCTGGTCTCTCTCTCTGGTCCTTCTCTGGTCCTTCTCTGGTCTCTCTCTGGTCTCTCTCTCTGGTCTCTCTCTCGTCTCTCTCTCTGGTCTCTCTCTGGTCTCTCTCTCTGGTCCTTCTCTGGTCTCTCTCTGGTCTCTCTCTGGTCTCTCTCTCGTCTCTCTCTCTGGTCCTTCTCTGGTCTCTCTCTGGTCCTTCTCTGGTCTCTCTCTCTCGTCTCTCTCTCTGGTCTCTCTCTGGTCTCTCTCTGGTCTCTCTCTCTCGTCTCTCTCTCTGGTCTCTCTCTAGTCTCTCTCTCGTCTCTCTCTCTGGTCTCTCTCTGGTCTCTCTCTCTGGTCTCTCTCTGGTCTCTCTCTGGTCCTTCTCTGGTCTCTCTCTCTCGTCTCTCTCTCTGGTCTCTCTCTGGTCTCTCTCTGGTCTCTCTCTGGTCTCTCTCTCTGGTCTCTCTCTGGTCTCTCTCTCTGGTCTCTCTCTGGTCTCTCTCTCTGGTCTCTCTCTGGTCTCTCTCTCTGGTCTCTCTCTCTGGTCTCTCTCTGGTCTCTCTCTCTGGTCTCTCTCTCTGGTCTCTCTCTCTGGTCTCTCTCTGGTCTCTCTCTGGTCTCTCTCTCTGGTCCTTCTCTGGTTTCTCTCTGGTCTCTCTCTCTGGTCTCTCTCTCTGGTCTCTCTCTCTGGTCTCTCTCTCTGGTCTCTCTCTGGTCTCTCTCTCTGGTCTCTCTCTGGTCTCTCTCTCTGGTCTCTCTCTGGTCTCTCTCTGATCCCTCTCTTGTCTCTCTCCGATCTCTGATTCTCTCATCTGCATCCTCCGAGATAACTACAGATTTAGTGCTGGTCAAAAATAAATTTAAATGAATTGAATTTTCAGTTTTACATAAGTTCAGCTACAGAAGTAAACTGACTTTTGCACCTGTAAATCCACGGTACCAGACAGTCATCCAACACTGCATTTGTGATTCTGAACCCAAACCTTGAAACTCACTCAATATAAAATGGAAAAACACAGGATTAAAGGTGATCCTTGTTTCTCTTCCACATTTTCTTCAGAGATTCGAAAAGTGCCAGTGGCTTTAACACAGTTTCCATTATTATTAGTCAGATAAAAGTTCAGCCAGCGCCTCGTATAATGCTAATGCAGAAAACCCTCGCGTGGAGAGTTCCCCATGAAACGGAGAAGCCCGCTCTAATTGAAAAGTGCTTCTTGTGGATCTGACTTTCATAAAACAGTCTCATGTGCTTCCCAGACTTTTTAGCGACGCTACACACACCGTAGGACAAACACGTCACCGCACGTCGGAGCCAGAAAGAATTCTCTGAAGTCAAATTACACCGAAATGAAAGTTGGAAGAGCTCGGATCCTCAGAGACTTGTTAATTAAATTTGTAGATTCCTCCCAAAACGTGTCGATTTCTCAAAGTATGCCACTCCGCACTAGCTGTAAGACCACGTGCTTCTTCCCAGCCGACTTTTATCCCAGTCAAAACAGCCTCCAGTTTGAGAAGAGCAGATAATGGCTTATTAATGTCATGACGTGGTTTTGATTTGCTCAGAAAATTAAATTACATCTCGCTTTGAGTTCTGTGGGGCAGCTGGATGTATTTCAGCGCTATGTTAATCTGACGTCTTGCTGATAAGATCCTTTAGCTCAAATGAAATGGAGGAAGATAAGACCGGAGGGATTCAGAGAAGTCCAGGGAGGAGACAGTGACAGCCGCACAAAAGAGCCTGGATTTGAATAATATCGTTTTGCTGCAAATTCAGGTTTTAAAACACACTGTGGGTAAGGACGGCTCCAACAAAGTTTTGGGGTCGGTAAGGTGAAATGTAATGTTTTCCTGTGTGTATTAGCTCGCAAGTGTAAAAAGATACATTTTGAAATAATTGTTTGTCCACAGATTGAACTTGAATCTATTCTAATTTACAGATAATAGGTTGGGACGCATAGAAATGTGAACCGGTCCGCATGTGGCTCCCAGGCCGCAGTTTTCCCAGGTCTGCCTTGAACGATTCTGCTAATACTTGGACCAAAATGTCTGTCTTTAGATGTTTTTCTCCAGTTCTGGCGGGGTATTTTTTGCCCAAAGTCAGATGGAGGAGATTACGTCCTTGTTGTGAGCTGCGTTTTCTACTCAACCATATTTTACCGCAACAAAGACTTCTGACACCTCCCACGGTAAAGCCTCCACCTCCCTGTCCGATCAGCTGGGGGCAGTGTACAGTACAAGCTGGCGTACGGTTCGGTGGCGCGCCAGTGTGTGTGTGTGTGTGTGTGTATGTGTTCTCAGCTGGTGGTCCGGGTTGTGCCAGGGAATCTGCATCACAGACCTCCATCATAGCCCTACCCCCTCCGATATCCATGCCCCCCAGAGCTGCACCCCGCTGGGCTTGTGCTCTAAACCACACTATACTCCGGTCCATGACGAAGAATGGGACTGTGCTGTTTCAAAAGTGAAGGATTAGGGAATTCTCACACATTTACAAAGGACAGGATCAAGACAGGGGGTTTTAAATGGTCGTCCTGAACCAACTATAGACAACAATGAGATTCACTCATTTCCTGGTTGCTTAAGATGTCATAATCTGGTGGTGGTTTTGTGAATGGTTTGTCCTCAGCATGTATTGAGCTACTTCTAAATCAGAACACAACAATGAGCTGTTCCTTTAGGCAGGTGAGAGAAATGTATTGGTGTAAGAAAAGCCTTAAAACAAAATGAATGTTATTTGAAGCGGCTTTAGTCTTTATTTCATGTCCCATTTGGAGATTAGTGTTTTTACGACCAAATCTGAGCCATGTCTTACTTGAATTCTTGGGCTTACTTTGCAGTCTCGTCTTACATGCAATTACAACGTCAAGTCTGTTATAATGTATTAGGGCATTTTGATAAGTTGAATAATGTTGAATTAATCTGCATATTTGTCAATTCTAAATCCTTTGGGGAGCTACATGGAAAGTTACTGGATGGAGAACCCTGGTCTATATGTATCGTCCATCCATCCATTTTCTACCCTTTAATCCATTTCTGGGTCAGGGGGGTGGCAGTCAGAGATGCCACCCAAGTCTCATAGCACCAGCCCCTCACTGACCCTCTGCAGGTGGTGAGTCCACAGGAGGACGGCTGCTCTCTGAGTGTGAGCATAGCCTTGATCTTTCAGTGGGGCTTTGGGCAAAGTGGGGTTAAGTGTCTTGCCCAAGGACACAACGACAGCAGTCATCAGTGGGAGTTGATGGAGAAGGTGCAGAGGTGGGAATTGAACCCACGACCTTCAGGCCTGAAGGCCAATGCTCTACCAACTGAGCTACTGTCGCCCCCTATATGTATGTATATATGTATCGTCTATGTGTCAAAATGGACTTCCCGATGTTCCCTTCCGCATGTTTGACCAGACATTACTGCACCTCCAGCCTCGCACCATAACATATTGGTACAGAACTAAATTATGCATAGAAGAAGCGATGCATTGGTTACAGAACAGTGGGAATTATAAGCCTAATAAAGGAGCAAGTATGAAATCTCTAACCTTTTGAAACCCGTGTAAAATACTGTGTATCCTAGTGCAAGAAGTATACAGTAGTTGTATGTTTACATCTGTCCATGTTATCAGTATGAGGGTCTGAGTGAAGTGACACATGTGTTTCCACGTTGCACATTCTGACATCATTTCAAATCTATTTAACAGACAAACTATAGAAGACAGTTGTGAGTTTGCAAACATAGTCTCTCAGCTCGACCTGTCCCATTCTCAGGCCACACATGAAGCCCCCGGTGCAGACAAAGAGACTTTTCACCCCTGACAGTTCCTGTGTTTGCGTTCCGTCTTGAGGGTCCTCCAGGTACAAGGCGCTTTAACATTAGCATTAGCATCACAATACGTCAACATGCTCCAATTAGCTCCCGACAAAACGGACAGAGATGCGTTGAACAAACTCCCCCGGCCTGGGACAACGACCGCCCCTCTCCTCCCCCGTGTCATTGTTCTCGAGGTAATTGGAACCAGATTTTGCAAGTAGCGCTTTCTCAAGTCATGTCAAGCTGCACTCACAAATTACCAATTACCGTAATGGCAAACCCCGGTCACTGCCGCCGATGATGGTCGCCCGTGCTGGAGGTAATCAGGATGTCAGCTCTCATCGCCGTATTTGTCTGGCGTCTTAGTTTAAGCTTCTTTGGACCAATTTGACAACTATTTGCCAACACCCGTTCGTTAGCGCTCTCCGCGTTTGCCAGTGGCTTCCAGTGACTTCCCGTGACTTGTGACACTCTTTAATGAAAAGTTTGGCAAGACTCAGCTGCCGGAGTGAGCGAAGGAGTCATTGGAATGGTTCAGAGAGAAAGTTTGAAGAGTTGCCGGTGACAATGTCGAATGAACTTTTTGGTTTTGGTGGTTTTGATTAGCATTTGGATATATGCAAATGCTTCTCCCAACGTGTGGAGGGATAGTGTTGGGAATAGTCTGTGTTCTGTTGTACACTTTGCATATGAAACATTTTGCAGGACAGACATAATGACAAAGTGATGAAACAAACGCCAACGTATTAAGAATTTGAATATTCCTTCACGGTTAATGCGCTGACTGTGGAAAAGGCCGCACAATAATGTAATGTTGTCCATGTATCCAGCGAGCATTGGACATTTATCATTCATGGACATTGTCAATTGTCAAGTAAGTAAGGTTTTTTTATATAGTGCATTTTACAGACCAAGGTTTGCCCAAAGCAGTTTACAATTGTTCAAAGTTCAGATTTTTCCATTCTCTCCACACTCGGTCTCTCACTCATTACAATCAGACCTATTGTACATGTTTTTAGTGGTAGAACACAGGTAGAACATGCAAACCCCACTCAGAAAGGCCGCGTTCCGACCGTGATTTGAACCC